AGTAATGCTGGAGAAAGTCTGCTTCTGCAAGGAATGCATAGCCTTTGCAATCCTATGAGAGCAGTTTTACTCTGTCCTTACAAGGTCACTGGGTCTAAATCACCTCCATGGGGTTTTTGTTGGAGGGGGAGGGGTACGCCTAAGTATTGACAAATTGCAAAATTTGTTTTTGGGGCTCTTATTTCAAGGGTATTTTGACTGGTCTGTCATAACAATCATGTTAGGAACTAGCCACAGGTTTTGCAATGTATTTTCAACAACTACATTTCAAGCCTGTGAAGCACACGACGCTGTTCTTATTTTACAAGTGTAGGGATGAAGGCTCTGCCGGGTTCACTGCAAGAATACAACTAGGAAGTACCTGCCTGGAAATCCCCATGGTCGGTTCCAGGTACAGGTCGGGAGCATGACGTCACGGTGGAGCCAGGTAGTGGTTCAACCAGCTCGTCACGTGGGCCAAGCCGGACGCGATGGTACCGAAGGCCCCGCCCTCGCCCCGCCTCTTGGCCCCGCCCTACTTCGGGAACTCGCAGTTGTAAAGTCTTGGGCAGGCGACTCTGCGGCGGAGCGGGGCGGACCAAGTACCAGTCGGCCCCGCCCCCCGGCCCTCGCGGCCCCACCCCCTGGACCTGGCGGGGCGGGGCGCGGCGCGAGGCGGCGCTGCGGGTGAGCGCCCTTTCCGGCTTCGGGTCTCGCCAGAGCCTGGGCGGGGAGGCGGAGGATGGATGTAGGCTTATCGGCCATTACGCTCTATCTCGCCAGCGCTAGCAGCCCTGTGGCGGCCACCACGATGGACAGGGAGCCCGGGAGCGGGGTCGAAGGAGGAGAAGCCGACAGTTGTTCGGGAGCTGTGGCGGCCGCGGCGTTCCGGGATCCAGCGCGGCAGGTAGGTGGGGCCGGCGCTGGAGGCGGTGGCTTCAGCCTGGGCCGGACCGAGGCGGCCGAGCCCGTGCTGTGCTGGGCAGGCCTTGCCTGGAAGCAGGCCGCCGGCTGTGCGTGCCTTTCCAGGGTCTTTCTCGCGGTGTCCCCACCTCCTCCGAGAGAAACTGGGGAGGGCGTGGAAGCTGGAAACCAGGGGACCGCGGCGTCAGTCACTTCTCGTGTCTCCTCGTGCAAACACCTGACCTGGCTTCTTGCCCATTGCTTAGCTAATAGTTCCTGCGCGCTAGTTGTTCACGGGCTTTAATTTCACTTCATCCTCAGTCACCCTTTTGAAGTGGTGGGTGGAGATTTTCTCCTTTCACCAACGAGGCTTGTGCTGCCCGAGAGGAATATAATGCAAATGTTCTGGTTGTTATCCCCAATAAGGGTGCGTGCCCTACAGTAGCAGAGCCAAATCCACCAATTCCACGTTGAGAGAAAAAGTTCATTGGAAGGTGACACTAGTGGGGAGTCTGACAGCAAGGCACCGTGTCATAATGGAGCCTTGCCTGAAATCAGGATACATAGAGAGGGCATACCTTTCACACCCTGGGGGACCACCTACTTTCTCAGATGTTTTATATAAACTCTGTGGATAAACACGGGATGCAATTGTTGACCATTAGCAAGCAGACAAAACAAAGTTTTTCAAGTCGTAGGGTAGTCTAAGGACATCTCTGGACTAATCAAATAGCAGGAATTTGCTTTTTGCCTACTATCAATCAAGTGAAGCAAATAAGGGGTTCTCAGACTTACCTGGACATCCACATCCAACATATTTGCCTGTGAGCAATACAGAAAGTTATAAAAATTTTAAATAGATTGAGGGTAAAGAACAGGTAAATATGGCGATATCAGCTAACTGCAGTGAGAGAGTGTTCAACTAACTACAGTAAATGTAAGTTACAACTACATTTCAAAAGTTGTTTTAAGATGTAGAGCTAATTTTAATATATTTAACTCAATATATGAAATATTTCCACATGTAATTGGTCTAAAATTATTGAGATGCTTTATATTTTCTTTTTGGTACTGTCTTAAGAAAGCTGGTGTATACTTCACAGTTAAAGCTCATCTCAGCTGGGACTAGCCACATTTCAGTGGTACATTAGCCACTTGTGGCTAATAGTTTCTGTATTGGATAGTGCCTCAGGTGTATCAGTTAGGCAATGCTTCAAGCAGGGGTGTGGAACCTCTGTCAGAGAAATCCATCAATACCAATTAACATCGCAGGAAGAGGCATCCCTCCTGCCATCACGTTAGGGGTGAATTAATGAAATGTTTGACCAGGACAGTCCTCAACTGATGTTATAGATAGCCAAATGGTCCTTGGCAGGAAAAAAGAGTTCCCCATCCCTGGTTTTAGAGGTTTTTATCGTGTTTGGGATTTGGTAGGAGCCCTGGTGGCATGGTGCTTTATGAGTGGTGCTGTGATTCAAAAGATCAGCAACTCAAAACCATCAGCCGCCACGTTGGAAGAAAGAAGCGGCTTTCTTCTACTCTTGTGAAGTTACCGCTCCTCTAGAGTTACAGCCTCAGAATCTCACAGGCTCACTTAGTCAGCATCAGCTTGAAGGCAGAGAGTTTGTTGGTTTGGGATTTGGTAGTCTAATTAATAATTAAGCCTCTCTGGCCAAATGAAATTAGTGAAGACAGTGTTTTAGTTGAAACCTGCTCAGGAGTATACAATTTTGGTAGTTTAAAAGCCTTAAGTTATCTGTGTTGCTAATGTAACTAAAACATTTCCCCCCGAAAAACAGTTATTCCTAGCTTAGTTATCTAGTGCTGTGATAGCACAAATGGATAACTTTAAAGAACCAAAGTTTATTTCCCTAGAGTTTTGTAGGCCCAATATCCAAATGAGGACCCCAGGCTTGTAGATGATACTCACATGGCATCTGTCTTTCCCTTGTGTCTCTGTTTATTCTGGTCTTTTGACAACACACAAATGATTAGGTTTAGATACACTGGCATGGCCTTTCTAACAATAGGGAACCCTATTTCCAAACTGAATCACAGCTACAGGTAAGAGAGTCAGGAATGCAGCACACATTTTTGGGGGAACACAGTACAGTCCATAACTGCCCCCAAGTGTAAATATGATGTTTATGCTCTGCTAGAATTGATTTGATTGTTGTGTTTTCCATCTGGCAAGGTCCACATGTAAAGTCATAGTTTGTGTTGTAAAACGTACTTCCAAGAACGTAGGTCTTGCAAAATCTATCATGGTATTTCAGGAGTTCTCTCACCAAGGTTACATTTTCCAACTACTAATCCATCTTTGGTGTCCAACTTGCATATTCCAATCACTAGTAATTATCAATGCATCTTGATTGCTTGTTTGAACAATTTCGGATTGGTAGACAGCTTCAGTTTCTTCATCTTTGGCAACAATGGCTGGTGCATAAATTTAAATACTAGTACCAATGATTCTTCCAGTAGCTCTGTAGATATTATCCTATTATTGACAGTGTTGTAGTTCAAGGTATCATAAAATGTCCTTTTTAGTAATGAATAGGACATTTTTCTTCATCAAATTTTCATTACTGGCATAGTATAACATGATTGTCTGATTCAAAATGGCCAATACCAGTCCAGTTCAGCCCACTAATGCCGAGGATGTCAATCTTCAAGCATTCCATTTTATTTTTTTGAAAGCTTCCAATTTTTTAGATGCATAGTTTGAACATTCCATGTTCCAAGTACTACTGTTATTTTGTAAACTTTCTTTGTGAATGAGTGAAAGTTTACAGAGCATATAATCAGTTTTCAAGCTAACAATTCATACACATTTTGTTTACTCCCCTTGATTGCAGTGCCCGAGATGTAACATTGCTGATTCCATTTTCTTTTGTTTCCATTCCTCCTCCTCTCCTGACCCTTCAGAACTTCTGTCCTTGGGAAAATGCTGCCCTTTTGCTCTTAAATGGGCTCTGTATTTTAAGGTGTGCATATCTTACTAGTATGCTATTGTTCCCCTTATAGACCAGTCTGTTGTTTGCTTGAAAAATGGAACATTGCGGGGTAAATTCAGTTCCAGACCTGAAGTGTGACTGAGGATTGTGGGGTGGGGTGGGGACAGTCTCTAAGTGACCATTTTATTTTATTCTGTTATTAGAATTGTTTTCCATTGCTACGTAGGCCCTGAATCTTTGTAATAGCAAAGTAAATGTGCCCATCCAAATTTCCAGATAAATATTTGAAGAGAGACTCTTTACTTCAGTTTAGTGACATTATCGTGTTTACATATTCTTGGTAAAAAACGAAATACTAAAACAATACAGACAGCTGTAGAATGGAATGTAAAAATCCACAGGAATTTCCCCTACTGCCCTTGCTTCACTTTCTTATTCCCCAAAAAGAACTTGTCAAGTTTCTGCTGTTTTCTTTCAGAGATTTTTAACATATATAATATTTAAAGATTCAACAATCAGAGCAGAGGCAGTGAGGTGGAGATATAGATAGAGCAAAAGATGCTATTCTGTAATCCTTCACATGATTATCAGAGGTTAGAAAACCCAGTGCCATATAGAGAAGGGGGTCTGTGTTTATAATTGGGCCAGGTAATCTTGTACCTATTGTGGTATGCTAAATAGTAACTTTCAGAATAGACTTTAATCAAAATCTCATCCTCAATTATTGAGGGAGTTAGAAATTACGTTGCCATTCACTCAACTCTATATTTAGCACTTACCTGTGCCAGGAACTTTAGGAACCTAGAGAAAAAGTGGGGGAGGGAATTTCAATTAATGCTACAAAGCAAAACATATACAAATTGTTTCAAATGGAAAACTGATTTTCTTGGTAAATTTGTACCTCAAATTAAAAAAACAAAGCAACTTATAGTAGCCAAACCGATATGGTTAACCCTTAATCTTTTTTTTTTCCAATTTGTTCTCTTTATTTTTTTATTATTATTATTTTTAATCAATTTATTGGGGCTCATACAATTCATCACAATACATAGATCAGTTGTGTAAAGCACATCTATACATTTGTTGCCCTCATTATTCCCTAAATTC